GTTTAGCTGAGCAAGGTGCTCTTGTATTAGGGGAGTGCGCATGAGAAGGCCCAATGTCCACCTGCCACCCTACTACCAAACCTATAATTATTTGCACCTAGGTCTGTTTCCCCCTTGATCTTAAATATATTTACATATGTACATGTCTGTATTTAGGCTTGTGTGTATGCCCTTTGCCTCCTATTCCTTTCCTCTATTTGGGCTCATACGAATCTTATCACAATCCATACATACATCAATTGTGTAAAGCACATTTGTACATTCATTGCCCTCGTCATTCTCAAAACATTTGCTCTCCACTTAAGCCCCCGGCATCAAGTCCTCATTTTTACCCCTCCCTCCCTGCTCCCCCCTCCCTCATGAGCCCTTGATAATTTATAAATTGTTTATTTTGTCATATCCTGCCCTGCCAGATGTCTCCCTTCACCCACTTTTGTGTTGTCCATCCCCCAGGGTGGAGGTCACATATAGATCCTTGTAATCGGTTCCCTCTTTCCAACCCATTGTCCCTCTACCCTCCCAGTATCGTCACTCACACCACTGGTCCTGAAGGGATCATCCGCCCTGGATTCCCTGTGTTTCCAGTTCATATCTGTACCAGTGTACATCCTCTGGTCTAGGCAGACTTGCAAGGTAGAATTGGGATCAAGCTAGTGGGGGTGGGGTGAGTGGGGTGGGGAAGGAAGCATTTAGGAACTAGAGGAAAGTTGTATTTTTCATCGTTGCTACATCGCAACCTGTCTGGCTCATCTCCTCCCTGAGACTTCTCTGCAAGGGGATCTCCAGTGGCTTACAAATGGGCTTTGGGTCTCCACTCCACACTCCCCATCATTCACTATGGTAAGATTTTGTTTTGTTCTGATGATGTGAGGTTTTGTTTTGGTGGGAATTCACAGGATGCAAGGATCTTCGTGTCTTTGGCCTGTTCAGAGAGATCTATCAGCATGCTTCTTCCCCATGACTCCTTTCACCAATTTTCTAGTCCTATGCCTTCGCACGTCCCTGAATATCTAACCAAACCATTAGCCACAGTCCATGAATCAGTATACAGTCTCATACCTGGCCATCTCTCCATGCACACTGGACAACAAGAAGCAATGCCAAAGTTCTGTCCACTATGAGACAGACAGATTTCCCTTAATCACTGTCCTTCCAAGAGGTCTCATTAAAGACTGGCAGTGCTTCCATTGGACACTTGTGAGTAGTGTCTGCATATCACACAGAGCCATCTATAAGTCAGGCTTAGGTTGTTTCTTCCTCAACACTGGTCAAGAGATCATAGTTGCAGACTGAGAGAAGGAAGGTAATGGTGCAGGACTAGGATCCATGAACATTTGAGTCACTTCCGCAGGGACCTTACCTGTGCCTTCAGGTGTAGCTCAAGCCCAACCTCAGATAGACAACGTCCACACAATGATGGAGTGCTACATTGCACATTTGATTTTATGACTCTGTAACTCAGACAAGGAGCCCTGGTGGTGTAGTGGTTATATATTGGGGTGCTAACTGAAAGGTCATCAGTTTGAATCAAACAGCTGCTCCCTAGGAAAAAGACAGAGCTTCTACTCCCATAAAGAGTTACAGTCTCAGAAACAAAAGGGCAGTTCTACTATGCCCTATACATCACTTGGGTCAGCATCTACTCAGTGGCCATGAGCCACTACTTAGTTTGGTGACTCAGACAGTAACTAGTTTATGATAGCATCTCAGGTCACTTGGTAAGTTGCTGACCTGGTCAACTAAAGGCAAAATGCTTCTAGTGATCCCTAGAAATCAGAATAGACAAGAAGGCCTTGGCCTGATCAATAGCTGCATACCAGGTACCAGGAGATATATTAATTTGCTCAAGCAATAAACTCACATCTAAAACAGCAGCTGCAATTAGAGTCACCACCTGCTTAAAATTATGATAAACCACTGTCATTCTCCAAGATCCACATTTTCTGCATTGATCAATTCATAACTCACTACCATGGAGTCACTCCTGACTCAAGGTGGCCCCTGTTGGTTTCTAAGACTGCAAATGTGTACAGAAATATAAAGCCCAGTCTTTCTCCCTTGAAGCTGCTGGTGGTTTTGAACAGCCGACCACACGGATCACAGCCCAACACCTAACGACTACACCACCAGCGCTCCATTAGACAAATTAAATGGGAATGTGGTGAGAATCATCACCCCTGCATCCTTCAAGTTCTTAATGGTGGTACTAATCTTTGAAACCCTTCCACAAATTCAGTATTATTTGGGGGTTACTATTTTCCAAGGTAGGGAAAGTCATAATTGTTTCCAATAGGCTTTTCCTATCATAATAGCATATTTTTATTGCCACTGCATTCCATAGATTAGGACTCTTTACTACCAGATACAGACTCTGACACTAAGATAAGTCAGACTTGGGAACTAACTCAGATAACTCAACATTACACTTTGGTTCCTCTATCGCCTATCTCAGTCCCAAATATCTTAGGCTGTGTTCTCTACAGGAGCAAGATCAGTGGAAACCCACAGTCAATTCCAAAGCATAGTGACCCTATAACCCACTG